TTGACCCCAAGGGCAACATGAACTACCAAGAAGTTCCAAGAGCGAGCGTTCGAAAGCTTGAACATTACGTGCGCGAAATGGCTGAAGGAGGAAAGCTGTCCGAGTACGGCAACCGAACAAAGGTCCAAAACGACCTGCAAAGAATTTACAAGCTCATTAAGCAGCAACACAAGCTTTCCAAATCATCGCAGCTGCAAATCAAGAGCTTGTACAGCAACGTCATTCGCTCTCTTTCCATGAACGAGGGCCAAATCATGCCCAGCGAGAACGGCAAGGCTGTCGGTGGCAAGCGGGGTCGTAACGGTCGCGTGCACGCCTCCAAACAAGGCAAGGTCGAGACCATTCCCTTCCTGCATCTCAAGAGGAAAGACGATCACGGTTGGGAGTACAGCAAGAAGCTGACCGGTGTCTACCTCGACTGTCTTGAAGATGCGGCCAAGTCTGGTGTTACGTTCCAGGGCAAGTATGCTCTTATGACGGGTGCTGGTGCTGGTTCCATTGGTGCCCAGGTCCTTCAGGGCCTCATCAGCGGTGGAGCCAAGGTTGTTGTGACGACTTCTAGGTTCTCGCGCGAAGTCACTGAGTACTACCAATCCATGTACTCACGATATGGTGCTCGCGGCTCCCAGTTGATTGTTGTGCCTTTCAACCAAGGCAGCAACCAGGACGTTGAAGCCTTGATTGACTATATCTTCGACACCAAGAAGGGCCTCGGCTGGGATCTTGATCTCATCGTTCCTTTCGCCGCCATCCCCGAGAATGGCCGTGAGATTGACAGCATTGACTCCAAGTCTGAGCTCGCACATCGCATCATGCTGACCAACCTGTTGCGTATGCTCGGAGCTGTCAAGAAGCAGAAGCAGGCTTACGGTTATGAGACCCGCCCAGCACAAGTCATTCTTCCCTTGTCGCCCAACCACGGCACTTTTGGCAACGATGGTCTCTACTCGGAATCCAAGATTTCGCTAGAGACTCTGTTCTCAAGGTGGCACTCAGAAAGCTGGGGCAACTACCTCACGATTTGCGGTGCTGTCATTGGTTGGACCCGTGGTACCGGACTTATGGGCGCCAACAACATTGTCGCCGAAGGTATCGAGAAGTATGGCGTACGCACCTTTTCTCAGCAGGAGATGGCCTTTAACCTGCTTGGTCTGATGGCACCACCGATTGTCAACCTGTGCCAGGTCGAGCCCGTTTGGGCAGATCTCAACGGTGGCTTCCAGTACATTCCCAATCTCAAGGACCTCATGACAGACCTTCGCAAGGAACTCACGGAAACGAGTGATATCCGCAGGGCCGTCATTAAGGAAAACGCCATCGAGAACAAGGTCGTCAATGGCGAGGCGAGCGAGGCTCTGTACAAGACAGCCAAGATCGAACCCCGTGCAAATATGAAGTTCGATTTCCCCAAGCTCCCTGATTGGGATACTGAAGTCAAGCCTCTTAACGAAAACCTCAAGGGCATGGTCGACCTTGAGAAGGTTGTTGTTGTCACCGGTTTTGCCGAGGTTGGTCCCTGGGGTAACTCGAGGACGCGCTGGGAGATGGAGGCCTACGGCGAGTTCTCCATTGAAGGATGCGTTGAGATGGCCTGGATCATGGGTCTTATCAAGAACCACAATGGTCCTCTCAAGGGCAAGAGTTACTCTGGCTGGGTTGATGCAAAGACGAACGAGCCAATTGACGACAAGGATGTCAAGCCAAAGTACGAAAAGTACATTCTTGAACACTCTGGTATCCGTCTTATTGAGCCAGAGCTGTTCAACGGCTATGACCCTAAGAACAAGCAGCTCATGCAAGAGATCCAGATTGAGGAGGACCTTGATCCTTTCGAGGCATCCAAGGAACTAGCGGAAGAGTTCAAGAGGGAGCACGGTGACAAGGTCGAGGTCTTCGCCATTGAGGACTCCGGCGAGTACACTGTCCGGATGAAGAAGGGTGCCACTCTTTTGATCCCCAAGGCCCTGCGCTTCGACCGCCTTGTTGCTGGCCAGGTACCGACTGGTTGGGATGCTAAGAAATACGGTGTGCCTGATGATATCATCTCACAAGTTGACCCGGTAACACTATTCGTGCTTGTTTCCACTGCCGAATGTCTGCTTTCCAGCGGTATCACCGATCCCTATGAATTCTACCAGTATGTCCACCTTTCTGAAGTTGGTAACTGCGTCGGTTCCGGTATTGGTGGTACTACCGCCCTTCGAGGAATGTACAAAGACCGCTTCATGGATAAACCAGTCCAGAAAGACATTCTCCAGGAGTCCTTCATCAATACCATGAGCGCCTGGGTCAACATGCTGCTCATGTCGTCCACCGGTCCCATCAAGACCCCAGTCGGTGCTTGCGCTACTGCTGTCGAATCGATTGACATTGGTTACGACACAATCGTGGAGGGCAAGGCTCGCGTCTGCTTCGTCGGTGGTTTTGATGACTTCCAGGAGGAAGGCTCGTATGAATTCGCCAACATGAAGGCCACAAGCAACGCTGAAGACGAGTTCGCCCATGGTCGCACACCGAGAGAGATGTCCCGTCCTACGACAACCACCAGGAACGGATTTATGGAGTCCCAAGGTTGCGGAATGCAGGTGATCATGGACGCAAAGCTTGCTCTCGACATGGGTGTTCCCATTTACGGAGTACTTGGTTTCACTGCCACCGCAACCGACAAGATTGGTCGTTCAGTTCCTGCCCCCGGCAAGGGTGTGTTGACAACTGCACGCGAGAACCCATCGAAGTTCCCCTCGCCCCTCCTTGACATCAAGTACAGGAGGCGCCAGATGGACCTGCGACGCAAGCAAATCAAGCAGTGGCAGGAATCAGAGGTCCTATATCTCCAAGAGGAGGTCGCAGCCATGAAGGATGTTTCTGGTGATGACTTCGATGAGTCGGCCTATCTCGAGGAACGTGTTGCAAACATTGAAGCGGAAGCCAAGCGACAAGAGAAGGACGCACTCAACAGCTTAGGCAACAACTTCTGGAAGCAAGATCCTCGCATTGCTCCTCTTCGTGGCGCTCTTGCGACATGGGGTCTTACCATTGACGATCTTGACGTTGCCTCTTTCCACGGCACTTCGACTGTTGCCAACGACAAGAATGAATCCGACGTTATCTGCCAGCAGATGCGTCACCTTGGCCGTAAGAAGGGAAATGCACTACTTGGTATCTTTCAGAAATATCTCACTGGTCACCCCAAGGGTGCTGCCGGTGCATGGATGTTCAACGGCTGTCTGCAGGTGCTCAACACCGGCCTCGTACCAGGCAACCGCAACGCGGACAACGTCGACAAGATCATGGAGAAGTTCGATTACATCGTGTACCCATCGCAAGCTATCCAGACCGATGGTATCAAAGCTTTCTCTGTTACTTCGTTTGGTTTCGGACAAAAGGGAGCTCAGGCTATTGGTATCCATCCCAGGTACCTATATGCTGCGCTTGAGCATCACCAGTTTGCTGCCTACAAGCAAAAGGTTGAAGCCCGCCAGAAGAAGGCTTACCGCTACTTCCATGACGGTCTCATCAACAACACCATGTTCCGCGCCAAGGACAAGGCACCATATGAGGACGAGAAGATGCAGGAGATTTTCCTTAACCCACAAGCTCGTGTCACGGTCGACAAGAAGACATCGACGTACAGCTACCCAAAGAACCCTACGCCGGCCCCCAAGAAGGACAAGAAGTCTCAAGAAACTATGAAGATGCTTGAGCAGCTTACACAGGCTACTGCTTCCACCGGCTCTAAGGTCGGTGTTGATGTTGAGAGCCTTAGTGCTCTGAATATTGAGAATGACACTTTCATTGAGCGCAATTTCACTGAGAAGGAGATTGCATACTGCCGAAAGGCCCCGAACCCCCAAGCAAGCTTCACTGGCAAGTGGTCTGCAAAAGAAGCCGTTTTCAAGTCTCTGGGTGTCAAGGGTGATGGTGCTGGCGCTCCTTTGAAGGACATTGAGATTGTCAACGACGAGTCAGGAGCGCCGTCAGTTCAGGTATGTGACACAAACTCAGCGATTTTTTGACGTATTTTCTAACGTGACTACAGCTGTACGGCAAAGCCGACGAAGAAGCCAAGCGTGTCGGTGTCAAGAACATCAATATCAGCATTAGCCACTCTGACGACCAAGCCGTCTCAGTTGCCATTGCTCAGTTCTAGGCATACCATGGCTACTGGGAGGATGATTGACTACGAAGTAAAAAGGGAGCATTAATGTGGAAAGACTTATGCTGGTACACGCGTCATTCCCCAAGCTCGTTCTATGGAGTGTAGAGATGCCTTTCGAGCGTCTGGTTTGTCGCCGGCTTGGCAGGCTTGTTTGATGAATGTGTCATGATAAAGTTACGTTATGTATTGTAATGCAATAAAATATTGTTCAAACATAAATGGTATCAACTTGAAGTCAATGCAACATGAATACATGCCGGGACACGAGCCGATGCATTCCACATTATCTATGGCTCTCGATGACGTGATGTGCAGTAACATGTGATGGCCGACTATCTCTCGACCCAGGGATACGGAACAATGTCCGATAAGCTCAACAACGGAGACTGAATACGCGAGCCTGGGCAACATGTACCCCGCTCGTTTCCCCGATTGGAAGAGTCTCGGACATGTGGTTGAGGCTGACCTGCAGCGGGTGGCTGCATGAGCATAAGCTGTTGAACACGTTGGGACACGCAGGATCTCGGACAATGTCGGGTACGTGTGGGTCACCATTGGGCTGCACAAGTCATGGTCAGTGCCGTGAAGAGTATAGCGTGTACTCGGAAGTTTACAATGAGTGTACAGATCGGTTGGTCTGAGTGTAGAGATAAGAAGTACCGACTACCCGGTTTGTTGAGAGAAGTTACTTCTCAAACGAATGGAACTGCATTTGGTTGACGTGTAGTCGGACAAGGATGCAGGTACGGAGAGGATTTGGGAATGGGGCCATGTATGTTCTTTGTACTCTTGATGTATTTATGAAGTACATAGTACATACCAAAAAAAACCCTGGATTGCCAAGGCATCAGTCTACTAGTGCAGCTTCATGACTTCGTGTTTCCCTTCTACAAAAGCTCGGGGGGGAACAGAGCGACAAGGTAGTCTTTAGAGGAGCATTCTTTCTAGCCCAAAAGCCTCTAACTCTAGAGCTCCTACCACGGATAATTCCTCTTGACCCACATCAAGTCCTTCTCACTCGGCCTCCTCACCTGCTCCACCAACCTCGTCCCTTTGCCATGATCCTTCGGGTCCACATACGCCACCACAGGACAATCCTCACCCTTGGTGATGCACCGCTGATTCGAATACCCGGACACACTGGCGTAATGCATGATGCTGGCGATATCGAAGCCGGCGTTTGACTTGATGGGCCAGCCTGGTTCAACGTAGTTTTTGACAAAGGCGGCGCATGTGCAACCGTATTTGATGGTTAGACGGATGGAGCGGCAGAGATTCTCGGGTGTAATGAGCGGGCCTTCGTGGGCGTGGACGCGTTGCCAGCATGAGTCCCAGTCTGCGAGGGCTTTGGGGGTGATTTTGAGGTAGGTGTCGCGGTCCGGGTGGTTGTGCTCATGGGCCATGCCTAGTAGGTTAGTACCAGCTATATATCTTTGCTGCCACTTCCTCAATGTCCGATGGAGTTTGCACTTGATGTAGTAATGGGGGATTCGACTCACCTAGAACATGGCCTAGCTCGTGCATAACTCCAAGCAGTGTGTACCCGTTGGCAATATATACGAGTTGCTGCCAGGGCTTCCCGTTGCGTGTCAAGCCGACACTTCCGCCCCAGCCTTTGTTCTCAGTGTATTCCATCGCAAGTGTGTCGTGGGGGACCTTGTCATTCCAGGCGTCGCGGTTGGTGGGAGAAGCACAGTACAGTGGCTTTCCTTGGGCGTTCTTGCGCTCTTGGAAGCTGATGGCGTGGCCGGAGGTGCGACTTGCGGGGCCACCGAGATGTCTGCAGCTGTTAATTCCCCTGGCTGAAGCAAAATAGATGGGCAAAGAAGTGTGTTTAGTGTTTACTTACTCAATCCACTTGGCCATACCGTTCTCCACTACGTTCCGGATGTTCCTGCGGTCATGCTATTGTGCAAAGCAGTACGGGATAATAACCTGATGCTCGCCAGTGCGCGGCCAGCGGATGGGACCGCCTTCAGTTCCCCAGGCATCAGTCGAGCCTTGGCCATTCAAAGCTTCATGCTTCTCTAGCTCGGCTATGTAGCCGGGCCAGTTGGTGGCCTTTGTACCGTTGTCGTAGACGGGCACTGGAGTACCGCAGAAGGGACCGAATTTGGGTACAGTCTCCTGGGCAAGAGCTGTAGCTAAGAGTGCAAGGAATGGTAAGAGGGAGAGTGCAATCATTTCTTCTAACTTCTTGGTTGAGAATGCTGAGTGGTGTCAGGTGGAACTAGCCACGATGGTAACAGTGCTTTGTATAGTGAAAGGACATGATATCTGGTTTACAAAAGCATAGGTATGTGGGATTGAAAGGTGCTTAGCGAGAAATGAGTGCTCAAAGCGGAAATCGTAGCGGCTCGAGAATGAATGAAAGGTATGTGCAGGCAGCAGTGAATTGCATACTGGGACTCGCAACAGTGCATCAATTCAGTCTTGTTGTTTGATAATGTGACGTCATGTTTATAATCACTGGGACGTATCTTACATACATCGAACAAATCTAGCGCCCGTTGACTTTACCTATCTCTTCACTGTACACAATCACCGCCGAAAGACCTGGCCTTACCGGTCCACATGCCTCCTGGTATTTTCAATGGGAATTTGAGACAAAACCAACATCAATTTACGTTGTTTACTAAAATATGCGGAGAATTTCCACAGAATAGACGTTCCTAGGAAAAACATTCATTCCACTAGCGCATTGGAGGTTTGTAACAATTATGAAATCAACTCTTTTGCTGATACCTTTACATGCTATGTATATAATTTAGAGCGTTCTGCTTTGATCTACAGCATGATCTACAAGCAGATGTAAAAAGCCTATGTCAGCATACTCTGTCCTGAACTGAAGGCTCATGTAGTGCGCTCTTGTGTGGACAGCGCCGAGGATATCAAGGCGTCAAAGCTATTTCCCGACCATTATCTGTCCTCTGTCCCCACAAATTATCTTGAAAGGTCTTCAGTGGCTGTTACTCGCCCCTAGTCAGGCCATGGTTTAGAACCACTCTATTCATATCTGTTTAGAAACCCGCAAAAAAAAAACAAGGATTTATCAATACTGCATTTACTTGAACAGGACGCTGTGATAGGACGGAAGCTGTACTTTCAGTCGCTGTTACTGTATGATAAAAAACACAAGGACACATCAAGTGAACGATGGGTGAAGCCCTGAGTTTTGAATTGGCGTCTAAGATAGTTAAAAATCACTCTAGCAAGGTGAAGGGATTGCTCAAACATGGCTTTTGGCGGGAGTGGCACCAAGATTCAGGCGCTGAGTGGTTCATTGCGGACAATGTCTCTCAATTTCAACAAGCCGCGACAGAATTCTTCTTTATGGATTATACACGCCAGCAATGTAGGCCTGGTCTTATCGTCTAAGAGGGCTTACATGGTTCTCTTGATATCCTAAACCTAGCTTAGCACTACCATGCAGATAAAGAATAAAATCCTTATTACCCCGTCGCGCGCTATATAGGGCTAGTAAAAGCTTGAGAAAAAGCTAGACAATGCACCAGGAATATTACCGAATTCTCTTATGCGTAATACTAAGGATGTAAGGGTGTAGGCGTAGAGTTACATAGTATATCGCAAATTGGTATAAGCGTGATGGACCCGCTCTTGATCTCGTATTCTCTGCTGATCTAAATGCGCATATGGCAGGAATTAGAAGAAAAGTATACGCGGTGGCTTCTCTTCTTGCATTGTTAAGGGATCGACTATTGTCACTTTGAGAGTCTCATATTCTCCGTACGAATCAAATGTGACGGTGGACTACGCATAGTGCCACCAGTGTCTTGGCCTTTCAGTATTACAAATGCTGCTCTCATTAAGTCCAAAATCGACCACGTAGTGAGCGTCCGGGATCTATGATCACAGTAACTACCAAGCTTTGGATATTTATAGGAGTAGTCAGTAGGAACTTTATGCAGCTAAAGCTACAGTGATATTAGAATTAATGGGATTTGGCGCTAATCTCTCGGTTTCTGGACATTTGGGTTTCGTGATACTAGGGCGGTAACTCTGCTACATGACACGCATCATATCTTACAATGTTGAAGCGTTTTTTTTTAAAAAAAAAAGAATTATATATTCCTATTGGCTGATCACTATTGTCCGCCTCAGAACCAATCCATTTTCCAAAATTAACTCGCAAAACATTACAATGTCAGCGGACCGTCTCTTCCAGCCCTTGAAGGTGGGCAACATGGAGCTCAAACACCGTATCGCCATTGCTCCTTGTTCACGCTATCGCGCAAACGATAAGCATGAAATCTTACCTATATCTGCAAAGTACTATGGCGAGCGCGGCTGTGTACCCGGAACACTTCTTGTTTCCGAAGCGACATCAATTTCGAAACAAGCTGGTAGTTTCGCCAACGTACCTGGCATCTGGTCACAAGCTCAAATCGATGCTTGGAAGCTTGTCACCAAAGCTGTTCACGAGAAGGGCTCGTATATATATGTCCAAATTTGGAGCCGTGGACGTACAGCAGACCCAGAAGTCTCGGAGAAAGAAGGCATTACCATCAAGTCTTCCAGCGCCACACCTCTTGTTGAAGGTTTCGCCACACCAAAGGAAATTACTATCGAAGAGATCAAAGAGTCCGTCGAGGAATACGCTCAATCTGCAAAGAACGCCATCGAGGCTGGTTTCGATGGTGTAGAGATCCACGCTACACACGGATTTCTCATTGATCAATTCCTGCAAGATACATGCAACAAACGTACAGACTCCTACGGAGGCTCCATTGAGAACCGCTCTCGGTTCGCTGTAGAGGTTACACAGGCTGTGGCTGAAGCCATTGGCGCAGAAAAGACTGGTATCCGGCTGAACCCTTTCAGCAACTACCACGGCATGGGGATGGAAGATCCAATACCTCAATTCACCGACCTCATAAAGAAATTGGATGCTTTTAGTCTTGCTTATCTTCACATTGTCGAACCACGTGTCGACGGTATCGATGACATCGAACCCACTCAATCAATTGGGTTCCTACTACCGCACTTCACTGGCACATTGGTCATTGCTGGAGGGTCCAAGCTCCATAATACCAAGCAGTATGCAGAGCAGTTTAAGTACAATGATATTGTTATTGCGTTTGGACGCTACTTCATTTCGACAACTGATCTGGCTTTCAGGTTACAGAGAGGAATCGAATTTAATCCTCATGATCGTGAAACCTTTTACTTGTCGAGGACCGAGAAGGGATTGAATGATTATCCGTTTAGTCAAGAGTGGAATGCGAAGCAAACGCCTTAACAAAGCGGAACTCTAGAAACATCTAAATATACTCAACAGGAAGGTTTTTTGAGATATGAATACAAAATTTAGTAAAGACTAAGTTCAGAAATCTCATCATTGCATGTTGCAGCTATTACGAAGTAGTTGACAGTTTTTCAAGCAGTGTAGTTGCGATTGTCGGCTTTGTATTCATACAGCGTTCACGATATCAGTGCGTAGAGTAGTAGCAGACGGCGGAGTGATTGGGTACTACGTATTTCTAGGGTGAATGTATTCATTGTCCACTCAAAGGATAAATAAGATGTCTCACTAGTAAAACAAGAAGCAGATCTATTCTCAAGTATACTCATTGAAGAGGAATAGTCATTGAATATCTTGTCATGTTGATATTTTTTTTTTACATTGTTATGGTAGCACTCATATTTCGATGGCAGAGAGTGGTTGAGCCTTCCCATCCTGGACTAGTTAGACTTTGCCTAGTTTTCCTTAGATGAATCTGATTACGTTATTCCACAGTGATGGGGATAGTTTAACACCGCTCTTTAGAACAATGCAATGTCTCATACAATCACAGACTCTGTATCTTGGATGAAATGATGATATCTCCTCACAAAGCGTGGAATTTTAGCTTTCACTCACTACACAATTATCTACAATCATTGTGTGAGACAACCTTTAATATAAAAGTGTTTACTAGTTCCTAGAAGAAAAGTATTAAACAACAACATCTACGATCGAAGACAGACAGTCCAAAATGTCTCGACAGCTCCCTGTATCCAAAGAGTCCGCCAAATCTACAAAGCTCACTATGCCCGAAAAATCCGCCACGCGTAGAGATTCGTATGCATCCGAAAAGCCTGCCACAACCAATGAGCTAGTTCTGCGTAAAAATTCCACTACACCTAAACAGGTGACTAAGCCCGCAAAACCCGCCATTCGTAGAAATTCGTCTCCATCCGAAACGTCTACCATATCTAACCAGCCAACCGTACGTAGAGGTTCCGCTGCACCTAATCAGCTGGCTATACATAAAAAGCCCGCCACGCCTATAACTTCACCTTCACCAGTGTCTAGAAGGTCCGAAATGTCTAGAAGGTCCGAAATGCCTAGAAAGCCCCCTGTGCCTAGGCAAGTTCGGAAGAGGCGGGTAACATTTGCCCCAGGCACTCTTTTCGAACCAGGACGTGTATGTAATGAGTTCTGGAGGTTTGGACCGTTATACAAAGCGGGGAAGCATGCACATGTTAGGAGCGGGGGATGGCTTGATACTAGTTTCAAGTCGGACGCGTTTGAGGTGATGCTCAATCTCAAGATCTACGCAACATATACTGTCGACAGCATGGCCGAACTGAACGACATCCATGATGAGTTTGTGACGTACATGCGCGAAGGCAAGCCGGTGTCTCCGGGAAAACGCAGCACACTTCGAGACCACGAACTCTGCTACGAGGTAATGGATGAGTATGGAGAGTATCTTAGACGCTGTAATGCTAGTGGTTCGACCCTGGCTGAAGACGAGCTAGCCGAGGCAAAAGTCTTGGTTGTCTACCAGGGCCAAAACGGCGGACTCGTTGGTTTCCAGTTTCTTAAAGACACGTGGGACGATGCGGAGGCTGCGGAGTACCTGGAGCAGTTGAAAGATGAGATCCCTCCAGAAAATCAAGGTCAATCCCCGAACGACATGTCTACCGAGACGTGGAAACGGTAGTTTCAGTCATGCAGTAATGGACCCACATGTCAAAGCAATGCTTTAGAATATCTGCTTATGAAAATAGTACCGTCAAAACAGTTTTAGTCTTTTTTTTAGTCCATACCATGTTATAATGTACAATATCCACGTATCGCCTATCGTACCATTTTATTTTATCACACCGTTGGCTGATTTATTGAACCTGGGATGGCACGGGTTTTGCTCTGTGATGTGAGTGGTCGTGAGCGGGTGTGCCGTCCCGAAGCAGTAACAGTGGCCTAGCCCTGCTTATCCGGAGTCTTGTGAGATTTTAAATCGCCGTAAAAGCAGCACGAACCTCTAGTCTACCCCGCGATTATGAAAAACTGGACCAAAGCCGCTAGTTATGCAAGCCTACTCTTCAAGAAAAGAAGTGATTGCGACGTACTAAAATCCCATTGCCGTTTTCAAGTAAAAGGAGCAGTAGCGTACCTGCCGAATCTGGGCAAGATTGGCATATGTTTATCAGCTTCAAGTAAGTCTGCCAAGGTTGCCTGATATCAAAGGTGGTCATGGGTTTCTGACATGTCGCAATCGGCCTGCCAAGCGCATTTACTAGAGTGCATTCGCCAAGGATGGCAAGCGCGGATATCTAGGGAAGTTTTATCTATCTCCATATTCTGGTTAGGTTACTTGTACGTATGACGCACCATTTACTACTAAGCGCCGTCGGTGTTTTTTCGACAATGTCGTCCGGCCAGCCTATCAAGGCCGAAGAAAATGAATACCAAGTTCAGGAAAGTGGATTCGAGCAATGCACCGTGCGAAGAGATCGTTGTGGGGTAGTGCATGGTGGATAAATAGGGCTGGCTTGAAGAGTTATGTTAGTATTAGTATCACCAAACCGCTGTTTCAGAAATTGCTGCTGAAACTTGGTAGATCGAGGTTGATAATTGTATCACCCCACACGCGCAGAACGCTCTGCATTTCTGAGGAACGTGATCGGCAGTCAAAGCCGAAGCTTCGCTGAATTAAACTGGGACGGACCGATGCAGGGCCGACCTTTTACGGGTAGTGGAGGCTCCGTGCCGGGGTAGTGCTAGTAGTAGCGCATCATGTGAGCATCATAGTTCACGTAACAGCCAAGTCTATCAGGTATCTGCGATGATGTGCCGAAAGTTGGTATGGTCATTGATGTATTTACATTACATGTTATCGTTGTTATTTTTCGTTATTTACAGAATCTTGTTGATTCAATCAGTCAAGATGAAGACTGAGCATTTGGTAATGCGATAGTAGGCGTACAAAAGAGATAATCATCAAGATACTCATCGCGGTCACCTTCTGAACCGCGCCATCAAGTCCCCTTTGACCATTTTCTTTAGGTGTTCATTGAACCCGTACGTGAGGGCGTTTGCAAGTCCGATGAATTGCGTTGAACATTGAAGGATGGTCAACGTCTGACTTGTGTGCCCTGATGCTTCCACAAGGCGATTGATCATGCCAGGTGCCCAGAGGATGATGTATAAGATAGGATATGCGTTGAGAAGGAGCATTCTCTGGATTTCCTTTTCAACGTTCCGACCGCTGACTCCATTGTAGAGAGTTCCAGTCACGTTGGTCGGAGGGCCCTGTGTTCCAGCTATTGCTGTTTCTGTCCTGGCAGCTTCAATGTCGCGTTCGGCATCTACAGCAGGGTGTGCGTCTGTGATAACAACTACAGTCAGTTTTAAGATCATAATGGATGGATATCTAGAAACTAGGGTGTGGCAAAAGAGACAGAAGAGTTTGGAAATGGGAAGAGGTAACATACATGGTGAACCGTTGGGAGAGGGCGCTTTTGACGTTGCATCACTTTGGATACTGTCGTCCTTGGCCGCTTTAACGGGTGATGGGGCAAATTGTGCTTTTCCAACGCTGCCACTTTTGGCGTGTTTCACTTCGTAACGGTACTCGACATTGATCTTATGTAGCTCTACCTCGGATTCGCTCTTCAGCTGGAAAGCATCATCTCGACGGAATTTGCGGCGCATAACAGAACTTGCTGGGTCGGTCGATTTTCCCATGCTGCTCGCATGCAGGGCTGAAAAGTGCCTCTTCATGTAAATCCATATGTAGACATAAATGCCAATGGTGATGAAGATGATGGCAAATCGCCATCCATGAGCCAGGCCGTAGCGCAGGTCTGTTCGTTTGGCACTGATCCAGCACCAGTTGCCACTAACGGGTGTGAATTGGTTAAGTCCTAGGACAGTACATGCTATTTTTTTGGAATCAGCCTTGACTTGGATACTCAGGCGCAATATGAATTACATGATATGGTGGGCATGATCCAGCAAGACGAGCAGATGAGGACCTTCTTCAGGGTAGAGACATTGGGCATGTAAGTCTTTCGAGTAATGGTAAGGAGTGTGACGATGGCGATGGCCAGGATGGAAAAGTCGGCTGCCTGGGAATTTGTCAGTGACAGATCCAACAGGGTGGATATCGGGTTTGAGATGGCGTACCTGAACGGACCATTGGCCCACCCAGCCATTTAAACTGCAAGCGACGCCATCGCTCAAGTCATGTTGATGTGCGACGACCCAAATTCCCGATACTGAATTGTTCACTGAGTTGATGAATTCTGTTGTGATGGTTAGTCTGGCCTGTAGAGGCGGCAATCAGGGGGTGAGGCGTCGTACCAGCGAGAGCGAGATTCAAAACAAGTACGTGACGGAAAGATCGTTGCTGGTCGGCGTAGATGACATAGCAGACGAGAACGCACGAGGTGGCAACGGCGGAACAAAGGCTGCCCACAAGGGTAGGAACCGCAACACTCCAGGTGATGGGCATGGTGAAGACAGTTGGGCAGTAGTGAATAAGTCTTGAGATACTTCAGCAACAACTGGCTAGAGACTGCAGATGGGCATGCGTAGGAGGCATGGCGATATATGTAACATGGAGGGTAGCGAACGCATTTAGCGGCACAAACCGTATGATTGGGAGGGCAGTCAAGTCTGGGGGGACTCATGCAGCCGCACACGCAGGTTTTACCACCCATTTCTCACTACATGCGGTAGTCTGATGTTTAGGGCGGCGGTCGTGCAGGGTTTCGACTATCTTGCTATTGAGCCGAATGTCTGTATCACCCGCATGCCTGGGCCAGGGACCCCTACAGGCCGTTGGCAGGCAGCCTAGGAGCAGGAGCGTGCTCCGCAGACGGCTCGAAGAAGTGGTCCCTGGCGTCCCTGAATGCGGCTGCGCATGGACGGGTGGCACGAAGCAACTCAATCCTATTTTATTTGGAGAGAGGGGAAAGGGGGTGAATTGCATCGATCCAACATGATTAAGTAACTAGTTGCCACCGATGATTAGAGGTGCCGCTGGCGTTGGTCCGAATAGCACCTTTAGCTCTCCTGGCTCTGCCTCGGGCTTTGCCTTAATCTATTGCCCTGGCGCCGCTGGGCATTGGCTGCCCTTGCAATGCCTCTGCTTGGAACCCGACTCAAGCACAGCGCACGTGCGCTCATCGGCTTCGCCATCCAAGTACAGCGCCGTCACAGATGTTGATCTCCCGAAACGCAATGTGCCTCTTATCCCGGCGCCTCACAGACTGCATAGCTATCTATTCCCTTCACCAACCAAGGCTCTGGCCTTAGGCTGAGCAGTCTTTATTGGTAAGAAAACTGCCGGTTCTGCATCGCATGATGACATGTATGCTCAGCAGTACCTTTCCGTGCTGAATTATACGCCTGACAAGTGACAGTTGGCTGACAGCACCACGAAACCAGAGTTGAGCAATGCTCCGACAGACTGCCTTGTCCCTGCTTGAGTGACCGTTGAGACCTTTGGCCTTTGGGCCTCGCCCGCACCATAGGCACAGAAACACAGATCCATCATCCGGCACCTGTGCTTTCGCATCCAGCTTCTGCAACTGGGCGCATGGGCGCACGAGCGCGTCCCTCGCCATTGCTGGCGATTCACGTTTTCTCCCTGCCGACTTATTCATAGTAGCATACACATGCCTATGCGACTCCATGCAAATCATGGAGTGTTCACTGGTATTGGCTGACCTTACGGAGAGTATCATCACCTCGACCCATCGATCAGCCCCTTCTACGTCACAAGACTATCCCGGCGTGGGGAATAAGCCTTCGCTAATTGCGCCTTCGCTGCGTGCCGTCTCACCCTTGTTCTAGCCCGGCCCCCTGTAAGCTCCACCCGAAACACCCTCCTCTCACCCAACTTACTCGCTCCTCTCTCTAACATCGTGTACATAAAGTACTATGTTCTATGTAATACATGCGCTCTAGTGCCTATCATCTTGTCACTGCCAAGCTGATGCATTAAACTGAACCAGGCCCTTACCATCGCCCTGATATAGCCAGGTCGACGTTGCTTCTCATGATTCTAAAAAAAGATTATTCAAACGAAGGTCCTTTTGGCCTGTTAGATTCGCTCGCGGTCCATCATACTGCAACTCTCAACCTCAGCATCTCAATTGTCTGCGGCTGAAGTGGCATCAAAGTCAAGAGTCTGCCACCACTCCGCAGAGCCTACAGTGGAAGTGCTAGCTATAAGAAGAAGGCAACGCCGTGCTGGTCAACAAGACTTCCACTGGTCTACATTACTCGCATGCGTACTACGAATACGAATGAAATTGTTTTGTGAGGAATCGTCTGGCCCGTGCGCCTACGCAAGACTGAGTCCACCCGTCCAAAAGAGCAAAATACCGATACAAAGATTGGATAAACTTGGCTAAAAGAGAAGGAGTTATTCAGGAGAATAATCCAAATAAGCTTGCTCCTAAGCTTTCTCGTACCTCACGGCTATATGTCTGCGATAAGAAAGCAGTGCTTTGGTTGTGGAAAATGAGCGCACGGGCTAGGTGATTCTTCACTAAAATCGAGATCTTCCGTATATGCATGTGCATGTAAGGCCTCCATGGCGATAAGCGAGCGTACCTGCGGACCTCTCCCCGCCTCCTTCGCTCAGGTCCCGGTATAGAGTCCCGTATTCCTCCGTCTATCCCCATGCCGTTCTTAGCCCAGTTCGCCCCAGTTTTCCGCTGGCTGCGGGTGGCAGCGTCCCATCCAAACTCCAGCAGGATACAGTTCTAGGCCCTGCTAGTGGTGGTGCGAACGCCGTAAAGCAACCATTCGGAAATGCAAAGCTTAAGGGGGAGGCGAGACCACAGCGCCACAGCAATCGCGTTTGTCGATAGCAAGCAGCTCTTGAAGATCCTCTACCTTAGACGTCATCAATTAATACTAGAGTTGCATTCTCTTCGCAGCCAAAACATCAATATGTCCTCCGCTAGAAAATCGGGTACTCAGATTACCTCGAAGACCTTGGGGATGGAGAAATATATGTGTACGTGTAACTGTATGATCACTGTTGTAGTAGCTAGTATTGTGGAGAGGGTACCTGTGGACATACCGGTTGGTGGTTTTCGACTGTAAGTGCAAGCTACCGTGGTAAAACCCAAAGATTTGCGGCTGGACCCTATCTTTGCTTTTTTTCATTCATGATGTCATTATTTGTTATGATTCTTATCGGTCATTTGCACCCACTGCTTGGCCCCCGGTTACCGTTTGGTCAAATGGATCCCCATGTAATTCGAATTGGGTCAAGGCCACGTCGGAGATCGGCCCTGATCGGCACTTGAGTTGGCTTCTTGTTCTTCTTGTATATGTGGATGGATCTTGAGCTAGATACCTGGATCGAGCCCCTGGCTTTGTCGAAAAACTACACCTCCATGTGCGGATAAAGAAAGGTCGCATTGTGGGTACATAGGTGGCCATAATGACGATATTTTGTTCTACTCTATGGAGAATTCAACCTAGCATGAAGAATAAAGAAGAGGGGAGGTGGGTTGCAAGCCCCATATCGCCAGCTGTACAGGTCTTCAAGCTGGGCACCATCAGTTATGATCTCACACTCTCTGTTGACATACTCACGAGGATCAGTTGTGTCTGTAAACAACGGCAAATATGTCCCTTTAATGACGGTGATTATTGCAGACAACATGGTCATGCTCATCATCACAATGAGGCCAACCTTCGTGGACCAAGCCATCTGCAGGTTCCAGAATGGGTATGCCGGCACCACTGCCAATACCACATCCGTGAACGTCGTGTACGCACAAAACCAGTAAGAAAAGTTGTTGAGAATATTTGGATTCCAGCATGACTGGTAATGACTTCTCCCATAGCTTCTGGGTCGGTTGGCATTGTGTAAATGCTAGGACAACTATAATTCAAGCAAACAATACTTGCAGAATCGCCATAGAATATAGAGCAACAGTATGCCGTGGGCTCGAGGAGGGAAGCTGGCAGACGAGAATCGTGATGGATATGTTCGGTAAGCTGAATGCGGCTGTAGATTGTCACCTCTTCGCCAAAGTTACAAGTACGAAGTCACATACTACTTACCAATATTAAAAGTTACAAATTGTCAACTTGAGCCATGCTAATCTCTACTGTTTTTTTTTCACAAAAAATGTACGATATCCTAGCATCTGAATCATGGAGCCTTTAAAAAACCGCTCAATGGCGAATTGTGCAGCAATTACTGTTGTGTGCTGACCGAATCTTAATACAACCCCGCAGTGTACAAATTATGAGGTAATGATGCTGAATATCTAAAAATGACATGAGTGCTAGCTGTCAGTTCGATGGGAACAAGCTCTGTAAATACCCTACTAGCGATAGCAAAATGATGAGGTCGTCCCAGCCAACAACATGCACTAGCTTTACTGTGGAAAAAAGCTTGATAGTGACCGATAAAAACAGCAGCCCCAGTCATGACCTATGCGACAAGTAGGGTCTCTGTCTGCTTGTTCTCTGTCAGATCCACTGCTGCAAAGATCGCGGAGTGTCTTGTGAGCTTGCTAGTGTCCAAAAGTAAAGAGGCAATGAGACTTTTTCAAGGTTCCTTAGTTTGACCACCATTGGATATCATTATGCCAGGGAACAACCGGTTGCAGCCCGATACTACTTATCGAGTGACATGGATTGACAATGCCAAGCTGGTGTGGGTATCACAAAGGTTAATATGGTGTGGAAATCCTTCTTTGTGAGTTACTACATCTTTTTCAGGAAGCTCTACGCGGCATAAGTAGTTAGTATCATAAAAATCAAGTAAAATATCAAACAATAGCGCAATCAACAAACTCAGGTTACGCACAGTTCATTCCTTTAAGAAATGGATTGCTTCGAATAAATTAATAAGATTGTGGTGGATCCTCTAACCGCATTACCGGGATAACAAGGCTAATCCTTTCGAGGTCCACACCACTGTGGCACAGCACATCATGTTGGCGAATTTATCCCAGACCTCGCTAACTTTCACAGACTAACTTCCTCGGGCTATATTTGAGCCACTCATATTGATAGAGGCTGAATATCAAAGTATTACTGGTCATCAGATTCTAGGATTTACTCATTACGAAAGTTTCGTGAAGGGTACGTTTTTGGGAATGCAGGCAAAGCAACTTTAACATTACTGTACCGTATGAGCTTACCTCAGATATAGTGTCTTTGAAGCGTAAACAAAAGACTGTCCAGAAGACTTTAAAAAAAACAAGTTTACATAGTCGCTGAGAAATATTTCTTACAAAAACTGCCAAGGTAGCTAGAACTCTATTAATCGATGCAGAGAGGTTTAGTTGATGCAAAATCCTTAGGATTGGCACACATTTCTTAGGTTGTGTACCTGTTTATGGTACTAGTACGAGCCAAAATAATCTCCCAGTGCGACCAAACGTGCAAAGCTATCACAAATCAGCATCTACACATGCACGTCTGCAAGTTTCATGTGATGATAAAACACTAGTCGCAAATCCTTAAAGGATTGATCCTGCGGACTATAGTGCCCAATTGAGCTACATGCATGTACGCGAACGTGTGGAGCTATGGATCTCAGGATATTAAGCCAGTTCGCCCACGGGGACACGTTATGCAGTTAAAATCAGCTTGCATTCTAAAACCACCCTTCTCAGAAGCAAAAGGTTACGTCCAACACCGAGAGAGAGATGTCAAAAACACTTCCGGTCATCCTCGAACGTATTGCAGCGGCCAGCAAGGCTTACCAACGCGAGGAGATTGGCTCACGAGAAGATCTCATTGAGCTAGGGAGAGATCTGGTAGCAACACTTGAAATCCCAAGTGAGTTCTTGCAAAGAAGCTGCTGGGCCGAGGTAAACCAGCAAATACTATCCGAAATTCTAGTGGCTTCTACTGATCAGTACTGCAGCCGGCTCTATCAGCACACTGCAAATTGGCTGCTGAAGTCAGACTGTTTCAATACCTGAAAGATGCAGGAGAGACAGGCAGTAGTCTTGAGGATCTTGCCCAAAAGACGGGAGTCGATCCACTGCTGCTCCAAAGAATCCTCCGCCACCTAGTCGCCATGAAGCTCCTCACATTCTCGAATGGAAAGTTCCGAGGCACGCCCCTCAGTGACGGACTCGCAGCAGAGAACTTTCAAAAAAGCATTGATTTTTGCTACGACGTCGCCAGACCGTCCTTCTTCAAAGAGACAGGCTACAAAATACCAGATTCCGTCACAAACGGTCCGTTCCAGGCTGCATACGGTACAGAGTTGCCGTTTTTCCCGTGGTTGGTAGCCACGCCCCCGCATCTCGATGAGTTCGACAACTTCATGTCAGCGTACCGGGCCGGGAAACGGAATTGGTACGACGCAGGCTTCTATCCCGTAGCGAAGCGTCTAATTGAGGGCTTCGACAAGGACGCCGGTGAAGCGCTGCTTGTAGATGTTGGCGGCGGCCGCGGCCACGATGTCCAGCAGTTCATAGCACAGCACAAGGCACATCCCGGGAACATCATTCTCCAAGACCGCGAGCCCATTATTGCCAGTGTTTCAAATCAAAATAAGCTACCGTTTGAGTTGCAGGTACACGACTTCTTTACTCCTCAGCCAATCAAGGCGGCAAGAGCATACTCGCTTCATTCCATCCTTCATGACTGGAGCGACGACGATGGAATCAGGATCCTTGAGAATCTGAGGCCTGCGCTCAAGTCTGGGTATTCCCGGGTTCTGCTGATTGAGATTGTAGTTTCGGAGGAGAAGCCTACTATCGCGGAAACGGCCATGGACATGATGATGTTGGCGCACTTTGCTGTGCGGGAGAGGACCAGGGTGGAGTGGGAGGGGATATTGGACAAGGCTGGGTTGAGATTGGTGGGATTGTACAACTTCCCTGGCGTTGCGGAGAGCGTTATTGAGGCGGAACTGCGAGAAGCTCCTTGAGTGAGCAAGGTACTTGTTTGCTTAATTCTAGGCTATTGATGTTGACTACGATTTTTCCATGGCGAGACAATCCCCAAGAAAGAAAATAGTCTTCGAATATCAAATTGCAACAAAAAGAAGAACATGTCAAATGCAACTGGGTGATCTGAGCACTTGAAAGATTTTTATCTAGCATTTCTAGATAAGCATTGCTACTATAAGAGAAGAATAGTCATCTCTGTGCTTGGGCCTAACAGCCGGGATAACGCTGTACTGGTATTAGGCTGTAAAATTGGTCGAGGTAGGATAGGCTTGCCCACCCAAGTAAGCTAGAGGGATACAGTGTCAAGGTCCAACCCTGAACTCAACCACGCATACACAACCTTACCGAATCCACGGACGCAGCATGTAGAGGGGCCCGCTAGCAGGGGTGTCGAGAGGTGTATAATTTTGTAGGAAAGGGCCGATGAAAGCATTGACTTCGGTTTATTGAATGCAATCATGTAAACTGCAGATGTATTGGAAGGGAGTTAAGGCGGCGGGTGATTTACTTGAGGTCGCAGTATTAGAGATTCACGGTTGGCGGTTTGGTTACAGGTATAGTTCGTGTGAGGTTGCACTTACAAAAAATTTTGGACTTTGGTTTTTTTTTTCAACGAGCTTCCTAAGGTCGATTTCCGGACTCTGATCTAGTAACTTTATTAATGATCGAAAATGCTTAGTCGATTTCTTTATTTTGATACAATGTTTATTGGTCTTAGTTCCTACTATACCCATACCAATGATCAAATCATCTTTGGCTAAAGCATTTTTTTTAATTAGCATATAATGTCAGCACCACGAAGTCAACTCAGACATACTAGATGGATGAGCAACTACTTCCAACTCTTAATTTTATATTAAGATATTACAGCAATCTACCCGATAGGCTTTCAGCCTTTTGAAAATTCAAAAGTCCTCTGGTGTACGCGGTCCCTTGCCTTTCCAAGCGTCAATTTGCTTATTCTTTATGTAAAGAAAAGAAAACAAAGAAAACGAAGAGAGATTCCAAATCATTTGAAAAAAATGGTATTCAGACACTACGTGTTAGAAGTATTGTGTGGCTCATTGTTACCCGGCGTTGGTGTATTGCCCGTCGGTGGCACTATAGCTGAATTGCTCTGTGCGGGGTCTGCATCCCCTCGTTCTCTTCGGGCTCGAGCCCCAAAAGCGTCACTTAGTCGTGTGCTGATTCTCCTACTTCTCCTGTCTCTTGTGTTGGCTATGTTTTCCACACTTGGATTCGTACTTTCTCCAGCGAGATCACCACTGTGGTTTCTTCGCTGCTCTCTAAGGCGCCTTAGGGCGCCAATTCGCTCTTCAGCTGATGAATTTGGTAAATGGCGGAACAACAAAATATCACGAATTGCAGTGCGGCGGCGATGCGATGTTTCAGTATCAGGGTTTAGAGGTGGAGCAACTTGGTCCTGATCATGTGAGGCAGAAGAATCATGGGAATCGACGGGACGCAGATCGACGCGACTGCGAAGTGTTAGTGGGCTTGATACAGCAAATAGTAAAGATAGGGGGCTGAGTTACCATAATGGACAAGTACCAGATACGTTCAATAGCCATGGATCTACACATTCTGGGTGGAACTTGTGATTGCATGGGAGAACGCGAAGATCTTGACCCTTCTCAAAATCCTCTGTACAAATGGAGCAGCCCGGAGTTTCGTCAGATGAAGCGTTCTCTGTACCCGTAGATGCGGCTGCAATAACAGGTTGTGCAGGTGCTATACCTGACTGATGTTGCTCAATCTCGGCGGGGGTCGCTTCCTGTGGTGCCCCTGTAACCTGTTCCGTACCTAGTGGCTGCGCTTGGCTGCGCTGATCAGCGGTCGTTGGAGGATTTGCATGTTCGTCGCTTGTCGCGTTCGCCCCGTTCAAATCTCTCGCCCCAGCCGCCGGTCCCAGTTCCACATCCGTAGGCTTTGTCTGCTCTCTTTCGCCAAATTTTACAATGGGAATAGTGTCGAGAATAGCTCTTCCGAGTCCTCTTGCTCTGCTCTGTCTGGGTCGCCCAAGAACGTTCCGGGGCCCGTATCGCTCAGGGTGACGATGCGCTCTTACCGCGCCTGTGATGATGATGACGAGAAATAGAGCTGTAATGATACCCGTAATGCTGTACAGAATGATCATAGCGACAGCAGTCGAGGGTGAGGGGCCTAATGGGTTCTGTGCCTGGTTTGAGTTACCGCCTCCATTGCTGTTGTCGTCATTGGACCGGCCTTGAATGTTGACGAAGTATTTCATGTGTGCGGGCAGGTCATCAATGGCATCGAGTACAAAAGCCGAATCAGTTTTGCTCGTCATGGAATAGACAGCGAATTGCAGTACCATTTGTTGAGAGTCGTTCTGGTCATAATCGCAATAGTCGGTGGCGGTGCTGTAAAGGATGGCAGCCGAAATGTTAGCTTGTTGATAAGCCTGCTCGAAGACGGATTGGGCACTGTCGAAGCCGTTGTAGTCGCTGGGGTTGCAACTGATGTATGCGATCTCATCAGCAGTGATGTTGGCGACGTTGGAGAAATTTGTGTAATATAGGTTGCCCTTGGCCTGGTAGTTCATGGTCAGTGCAAGGACTTGAATGAGATCTTGTACCTAGCCGCGACGAACCGAATTCACTGCTTCCTGGGTCAAGGGTATAACGTTGGCGATTTTGCGCCCGTTTGATTCGGCACGGGCAAGCGGTAGAGTGCCATCTCCCCATCCCGGACGCGCAGTCGAGGTGTTGGAGGGCGAGATGGTGGCCGTGGCGGAGGTAGCGAACAAGAGGCAGGTCAACTGCCACGACAGCCGGTGCAGGCGCGCAGGCGACATGTTGAAGCGCATGCGTGCTGTGAATTAATAGCACACGAGCGCCGATGAACCCATGTGTGAATATGTATGTAAATGGGTGTAAATGTCGGTGTAAATGTCCAAATGTACGGGTATGGTGGCTTGAATTGACGTGCTCCAAAAAAAGAGTTGCCACACTACAGAGCGACAAGCTAGACGATAAGGCGGTACTCGCGCCCGACAGCTGACATAGTTGGTGCAACAGGAGGCGGCGGCAAGCACAAGTGGTTTGATGTGTGTCAATGTAAGAGTGTAGGTGCGCAGATATGGCTGAAGCCAGACAAGACGACACAAGATCTGGCGGAGAGGCGCGGCAGACGATGACCACAACCCCCCCCCCCGCTCTTCTCTCCCCCAGACCCGCTGACGCTACGGACCCACTCGTGCTCGTCTGCGTCCGCCTTACGCTCCGACTCTGAAACTCGGTCTAGTCGACATTGTCTGGCTACGGCTGCAGCAACCTTTGTTCCGCGCTTCTCTCAACCACTCGTCTGACACATTCACGGACCTCTACGACAATGACAGCCCTACCATGGCCTTTTAATGGCTCAGGTGCACTCGTAAGCCCTATGGCTGAGTTGCTCTACCGCCCAGTGCTTCGGACCGACTCGACTGCACGTCACTGAGCCCACTTGCATCAATCGCTTTATTCCCGCATCGCCATGCGTACATGCATTCCCGTCTCGGTAATGCATCTTGCCGTAAAGAATATGCCGCCAGTTAACCGTCAACAGTTTCACCTGTGCCCACACGTCTGTCTGTACATATCCTCGTTCCATGTTCTAACCAGCTTGAATACTACCGTTGCATTACACATTTTGTATCTACCATTCAACTCCATTCGAACTCCATCACCATAAACGCCTGCGGGCTGCGACCATGTATTCCCACTCATCCATCCCCACGACACATTGTTGATACAATTAAGAAAAAAAACCCTCAAGCCCGTATTCACAACACCACGCTCGCCTAGTAGGCGATGCCACTCCTGCCACGCCCAGGCGTCTTGAACGTCATGGACTGCACATGTTGCTCCACCAGTCCGCCAAGCGCTAGTGTATCCTTCGGATCAACTCCCATCCTCTCGAAATCATTGAAGCCAGAAAGATAGAAGCCAGCAATCACCACCAGATACGACAGAATCAAGATCGATCCCTTGAAGTAGTTGCTCTTTCCTTCACCGTACATGTACGACAAAAGGAACACGCACAGAATGACGGTAACCATGTCCCATTGGGGAAAGATGAGTGTGAATGTCTGGTTTGCCACTTCTTGCGCTGGAATATATCCGCTGTGCATGGCGCTGTAGAAAACCAGAGCTGGGATCTGCAACAGACAGACTTGCAGAGCATATGCAGATCCAATTTCCATGGAAAGCGCAATATTTCCGTTCATCGCAAACGAAATAGCGTTCAAAAACTCGGTCGTGTTTGGCACCAAGGCAAACAAGGTAATGCCCAGGAACTTTTCGTCAATATCAGATCCTTCCAGCACCCCGTCGACCGTGTTGACAAGAATCTCGGCGATAACGGCGTATGCAACAGTCGCTGTCAACAAAATAGCAGCACTCTTTTGACGACTCCAGTTTGGTGCATCGTGCCCTCCAGAAGTATGTCCAGGCGCCGTCTCGCCTTCGTCGTGGGCCGCCTCGGTGTTGGCGCGAGTATGAGCAGGCCGATCTGCGTGCCCTTTGCTGGTTGTGTGAGCAAGTTGCGCAGCTTTACGAGGAGCTTTGGTAACATCACGTGTGGCCAGAGCCGTCGTTGTTGCAGCAATCTCAGTGATCTGGCGTGCTAGTGATTCCGCGGCATCATCCGTAAGGCCTTCGACATGGAAAGAGTGGTGCACATTTGTTTGGCTATCCTTGGGCGGTACCTGGTGGAGGGTATTGCTGTCTGCTTTTGAGCTTGGCCGTCTATCGCTTGATGTGGATTGCTCTGGTCCAATGCCAACCTCTTGTAGAGTCTGACTAACCATGCGCTTGTACAACTGACTGTCACGTACATGCGCGCGATTGACGGAATGCCCGGTCGCTTGCCTCGTAAAAGAGGAGTGGGGGAAATCTCCATGGGCACTTTGACTAAGACTACTCGCACTCATCTCCAAAAATTTCTTCTCTTGAGCATCTGGCTCCGTCCAGAT